ACTTGTTCAAACTGACCCGGTCCGACCCAATTAAATGTATATATTCTTTTCCTATTATACCACCTTTGGGCCCTAATCCTGAAGCCCAGTCTGGTTTTTCCCATCCGCCATTTCTCAATAACACACCCTATTTTCTGTATTAACACCACCCTTTTTTATTTGATTTAGATTAATTTAGTAACTTTAGTTTTTTCTTTAGTTTAGATTTAATTTGACAACTTTAAATTTTTAATTTAATCTAGTTTTAAGTTAACAATTTTGGAATTTTAGTTTAGCTTAAATTTGTTTTAATAACTTGAGTTTTTTAAATTAGTTTAGATGTTATTTAATAAACTTAGAATTAATTTATTTTAGATTTAATTTAGCAAATTTAAGAATTTTAATTTTGATAATCTTTGAATTTTAATTTAGTCTAAATAACTTTTGTTTTAATTACATCTTTATTCTATATTTTTACTTTCTTTTGTATAAAAAAACATATAGAAAAAACAATTTTTCTTTCTCTTTTCATTTATTCGTAGTTTAATATTTTTTTGCATTCTTTCGATTATTGTAACTGTTTACAGCTTATAATAGTTCAATTAGACTTTCACTTTATCCCCATTCATAAATTTGTATCCCCCATTCCCGAAAGCTCTGTAATAGTGTAGAATTTTAATTTCCGCAATTTACTGTTTTCCTTAATACTGTATAGTAATTAGGCGTGCATGGCAAAATTTAAAATCAATCACTAGATAACCCTAATCAAAGAACAACTTAACTTGAATCAAACACACTTTCACACGTGCACCTCTAGGGTAACCTCGCTTGTTGCCTCGGAAAAACAGTCATGTCCCTCGAATATGGGACTCTTTAGCAAAGACCCTTCGATAAAAAAGATCGTAGTCCCTCGATGTTGCCTTCGGTAAAACGATCTAGTCCCTTACGAAAAATTGTTAAAGCGTCTCACAAGTTGACTTTTATGACTGTACGATTGACCCGCGCCTGTCCATTCACATCCAACGATGAGGCTTCTTACCAAATAAATGGTAAGATAGAAACATAAAAAGGAGGAGGAAAAGAACATTATACCTTTTGAGTAGGTAAGATGCTCCTAGTTGCTCGCTTGCTCATAACAAAAACAATTTTTACACCAAACACTTCACTTTGAAACATTTCTCAAAAGACAAAACACTTTGTACGCGTTCTTATAGAGATGAGAACCATTAGAAAGACATTCTTTTCAAAATACTTTCAAAACCCACATCACAAACACACTTTCAAACAAAAAAGTAAGTGATCTAGCAAGCAACTAAGATCTCATAGATAACTACGGATGAAAAGGGTGCTAACACCTTTCCTTTTCATAACCTACCCCCCGAACTCAAGAAAATATCTCGAAAGGTCTTTCCTGTTCTTTTCAGCCTTTCCTTTTGGATAAAAGAAAAGTCGGTGGCGACTCTTTCTATCTTTATTTTAAATATTGTCAAAGGGGGAGAAGCATATTTGAGACGAAGTTGGGAAGTATAAAGTTAATGGGAGCCTTCGATAACTATATGAAATGCATTATCATAAGTTTTGCCATCATAAAAAATGGGGAGTATGTGAGTACAAATTCGTCGTTGGATGTTTTGCATGACGCTAAAATTGGGAAAAGTTAACATTTTTATATATTGGACCATATCTTTATGTTTTTTGGAAATCCTTTGCATTAGGGGTCTTAGGAACCACTAAAACCCATTTTAAAATGGATCCAAGTCATGAAAAACAAGTTTCTGCATAAAATTTTATTGCATGTGTCGGCACATAAGATTTTCAGATCAACACATGCAACTCAGTTTTAAAGCTTGTAGCCTTTGGAAGGCTCATGTCGACACATGCATTGCACAGGTCAACATATAATGAAGCTTTTTTGAAATTGCAGAAATTCTTATTTTATTTATCAACACCTACGTATTTCAGGTCGACACATTTATTGTTTTTTTAAAGCCTGTAGCCTCAGACTTGCTTCGCTCGACACATACATTCCCCCAGGTCAACAAATATAGCTTAAACTTAACGTATGTGTCGACACATACAACTTTTAGGTTGACACATACTTATTATTTTGGTTAATTTTTCAAATCTTTTTAATTCTGAAAAAGTCATTTTTGCCCTAAACTTCCAAAACTATAAATACTTCATTCATGCATCATTCCAACTTGATGATACCATAAAAATTGCATGCATTTTCTCTTCATCTTCAACCTCTAATCTATGCATACACACTAATATTCCATTGTAATAATCTTTTGTTGGGGTTCCATCTAGATGAGGTTTGATAACGTCCAATTAGGTTCTTGTGTAGACGAGAATATTAGGTTGTGTTTTGAAGGGGTCTTCATCAGGAAAAACTGCGAGTTTATTTTCCAATATCATTGATTGGTTTGGGGGTTTTCATGCAATACATTTAAGAGAGGATTGAGGCCTAGTGAAAGCCTTTGGAGATAAAGAACGTAAATGATCCTTTGGAGATAAAGAACGTAAAGGAAGTAGTGTAAGAACAATGAATCCAATTGAAGTCTTGTGTTGTAATAGGTAAAATTGGTGGTGCGCGAACGCTTTAGAGATAAAGTACACAAAGGAGTAGAAAGATCCAGATAGCCAATTGGTAGCTATTGTATCTTGGTCTTTCTCAAGATAAAAAGAAGAGAATGGGTTAAATCAATAACAAGCCTTAGGATTTGTGGAGTTTATCTTGAACACTTATCTTGTATCCACTTGTTTCATAATTAGAATTATCCTAATTCCTTTAGAATTAGGCGCAGACGTACCCACACGCGGGGACTAAAGTGGAGAACTGTGAAGACAAATCCTTATATCTCTTTTCTTATTGCTTTTACTTGCTTTAATTTTCATCAATCAATTTATCGAATAGCATTGCATTATCAATTGATTTGTAAGAAAATTTTCGGACTATTTTTGATTTAAATCAAGTGTTAATATTGCTTATAACCATTTTTTATTATAAGAGATTTTTTCTATCAAACCAACTTAAAGGAAAATTCTGAAAACTCAATTGCACACCAAGTGTTTGAAAAATTGTTTTATTAGCTCTTTTAATAAATTGCCATTGAAAATAACACTACTAGTAACTTGTTATAAGCGTTGATTAAGTTGTTAATTGATTCAAACTATTAATTCCAATTATCAATTTCAATCCATATTAAATTTATTATATTTGCATATTTGAGTGTCTTATAGCGGTTCGTATAGACGACTTATTTTGAAAAACTTCCACTCAATCTCTTTGTTAAATAAATTTTCAAAACCAGAATTTTTATAGAATTTTAATTGGATATCTATTCACCCCACCTTCTAGATATGTTGTCATCGTCTAACAACATTGGTCTTCTTCAGCTCATCTAGAGTCTCCTTTATCCCAGAAGGACTCTCTTCCACAGCAGCAGTCTTCAACATCCCAAAAGGACCAACTTCAGCAGCAGACTTCCCAGACTCAACAAATGAAGAAACAACAACATCTAAAGGTTGAGTTTCCATTGTAGAAGCAACAACTTCTTATGAAATCTCTACTTCCATATCAGGCTAGTAGAGAGGAACATGAGCAGATGCTTGAGAAGCAAGCCAAGCCTCGTGCTTCTTCCTTGCTTCTTGAGAACATAAAACTTCAAGAATGTTTAAATTAACATGCATCCATCTTTTGAATCCAGACCAGATGGCAGAAGTCAGTTTAGGATCAATGCTTTTAGAAGAGCACTCCAGAGAAAACCGAAGAGTATCTAGAGCATTATACATAAATTGAAACAAGAATTCATCAAGGAGTTTAGACGAATGTTAGTTATATGAAGAAAAAGGTCATAAGGGATTAAGTATGGTTTGGAGGTTCTGTCTGGAAAGATAATAATTTTGGGTTGTCTGACAAAATTTTAGGTTTATGAAGAAGTGTCTTCAGAAATGTTTGGTTTAGTGGAAAGTGGTTTGGGCTAAGAAGTAGTGGCTTCTAAGATATTTGATTTTTGTTTGGTTAGCATATTTATTGTTCCAAGTGTGGAGACAGAAGAGGGTGGAGATGTATTAGGGATGAAATAATTTGATGAACTCGTAAATGCAAATTTGAGTAGGGAATGATCAGATACAGAAGAGTCAGCAGTGTGTCTGGCTACATTTGCAGGATTTGGGGAAACCTTCTCAGAAGATGAAGTCTTTGATTTATAAGCATGTCCAGAGGGTCCATCACAAGACCTTTTCTTAGAGAGTTTCTTCTTCTTTCTATTGATAGGTGAGGTAGGAACATAGACAGTCACATGATTAACGAAGAAAGGAAATTTCAGGAAACCTTGCAAGGTTAACAATTGGAAAATATTCAATAGAAATTTTTCTGTTAAGTCCATGATTTTAGGTTTGGCATAATTTTTGCTAAAACATGGTTCTGGACTGATGTTGAACAAGATGTCATAACATATTAAATAACTGTCATGACAGGTTCTACTATCATACTTATCAGACATATGTTGAGCCAGATGTCTTGACATCTTGGCCTACTATGCAGCAGACACTATTGTTTTATCTCTTGACATATATGATTTTTTTAGAGATCCTTTTAGATATATCTCATTAGTATTCACATGTGTCATACCCCAAATTTGTATTACCCCAGCGATCCTTTTTTTTATAGAATTATTTAATTAAAGATGGTACAACAATATCTGATGGACTATCTTTATTCAAGATCATGGGGTGTATTTTAAATCAAGAAGATTTAGTTGTTATTTAAAAAGGAAGGGTGAAAATTAAATTTGAGAATATGCAAAGGAAAAGGGGAATAATTAACGTTAGGCCCAATTGAATTAAAGGAGAAGTTCTTACTGCAAACAAAGAAGTGCTAGGCGGTATGGATCAAGTGCTGACCCAATAGAACTTCTGAAACAAATCCCATAAGTTCTTCTTTACAGAAACAAACATAAAAGTTGTACAGATCAGAGCCAGAATCACGCACAAGCTAGTACTGATACAAAACTGGAATGTCAGATCTTCTAGCAGAGTCAAATTGTAAGCAAGGGCATAATCAGATTATCTTCCACATCCCAAGCTCAGAGTTTCAGAGGCTAAGCAACCCAAGCCCAAATCTGTTGGACGTGCACTGTATCAATTTCAATCAAATCTTCCACAGAAAATCAATTCCAATCAAATATTTTTAATTATATCCTCAATATTTGTTCTAGCAATAGTCCAAGCCCAAAAATTGAACATTATAAATATAGGAACAAATTAGCAAATGGGGGAGGAAGAAAAAAAGAGGAAGAGGAAAGAATACGAGGAGAGACGAATTTGCAGAGAAAAGCAATACGACAACGCTTGAAGAAAGAGCAAGGAGAGTATAATTTCTGGAAAACCCAGAAGAAGAACATGCAGAAGAGTAACTGAGGTTCCAATATTTGGAACCCTAGTTTCAATCACCGTTGCTCCACCTTTCGTCGTTGTTGTCACCAGAATCCGCAGAAGGAGAAGAAAAGGATAGCAAACAAGCACTAGAATCAGAGGAAAAAGCGTTAAAGGGGTAACAAATTTTAGTTTGTTTCTTTACTGTTTTTTATGTTGGGATTATGGTGAATAGGGATAGAACATTGATCTTACTGTAGTACAACATAAATAAAATTAGTAAGGATAAAATACATATTTAATGTTCTGATGCAAGTTCACATGCGTGCGTTGTTTTGTTATAATCTGATAAGCGTCCCCCTTTCTTAGAACTTCCCTTTCAGGGCTTTCCCCTGCCCAGAATTAGCCTTAGGCTTATACATTTTCACATCACCTAATCCGTCTGGCCTTCCCAAAAATTCTGCATAGTGGGCTTAGCTCAGAAGTTAACACCCCTATTTTTTGACTTTGCTAACCAGCTTGCAGCGTACCTTTCTAGAAAAATTAAAACCCTTTTCCCTAACAAAATTTAAATCATGTTTTCCCCAACTCAAACCTAAAACCTAGTATCCTTGTGAACAAGGTAGATGAAAGGTGCATAACACCTTCCTTTCGTTTAATGAAGTCCGAAATCTAGAATCTTTGTCTGCGAATTAGGGTTTTCTGTTAGATGTCATTCCCTAGGATAAAAACTAATAGTGGCGGCTCTGATTTAAAAACCCGTTGCAACAACAGATCAAAGAGGTTTATTAGGAACACGTGCATATTTGATTTGGGTTTAGTAAAAAGGATCTTGGAGATTCTTTAGAAAACTTTAAAGGATTTCTTCCTATTTTTATGTGAAGATCTTGCAGCTGATTTAAAAAGTGAATATTGGATTTGATTTGAAGAGTCCAAGTCCATACTTCAAGAGTATAAATAAAGACTTGTTAAACCTAAAATAGCAAGCATTCACATTGAAGAAACCATGAGTGCAACAAAAAGATTAGAGTTTTGAGAGTCTTTTAAGGTCTTTGTGTTTTTGTTCTTTGTATGTCACTTATGTAACTTTTGATACATTGAGATTGACTGATTGTTAATTGATAGTTTATCAAATTATCATTTTCACTTATGACTTTTAAACAAAGAGTCTAATATTGTTCTTAATTGAAGCTTTTAAACAAAACTAACACTACAAGAAAAATCATGTTTCACGACTCATAAATTGCGACAGCTCTATTAAGCTGCCCTCTCCTATGAATCGCGATAGCTTGCACGACACTTTTTACCAACCGCCTCTTAATTTTCAACAAAATAAAAGAAGTTGCCCAACTGCCTTAAACAATGCTCTACGACGGGTTAAAAAACCGCCCAACACTTTTAATAGGCACTATTACGATGGGAACTCACTTTTCATTCCGTGAAATTAAACATTTCCCTCCCTTAATATTTAGCTCAAGATGACTTAGCCAAATTCGTCTTACTCACGTTCACGTTTCTCAGAGAACAAAAAAGAAACATTTCCTCCCCTTCTCTTTCGTAAACGAAAAGTTCTTTGAAACCCTAATTCAGAAACAAACTATTCTTTATTTCTCCGCTGGAGATTCCAATCCCAAATTAGAATCCTATTTTCAACCCTAATTAAATATTGAAGCATGGAAGTAGATCCTGCATGGTAAAAGGCAAGTTGACATCCTTCTCCAATGAAACTAGATCTTCCCCTGTTGACCGAATGGTTCCAAAACTTTCATGTATTATATATTATTTTGAATTTGATGTTTTAAACGGAAATGGCTTCAAAACCAGTAGTATGGGCACTACAAGAAAATAGCCAAGTAACAACACTGAAGGCTACGACGGTTCAGATTTAACTGCCCTCGTCTCCAACCTATGGCAGTTCTCACAGAGAAATTGGACAATCGTCCTTGCTCTACGATGCTGTGTAACCATCGCTGCCCCCAAAACACAGCAGCTAAGCCACATCAAAGGGCCACGACGGTTCTCTGAACTGCCTTCAATGGATATTGTTCATTATTAGTCGACGAAATATGTTGCTTGAGGAATTGTGTTATGTTTAATATATTCGATAATTAAGAGTTTTTTTGTTGGTTCTTCAATTGTGCATATCATTATATGGTAAATGGTTTGGTTTTTTACGATAATATGTTTGGGCTTTGTAATTTATGACTATGACTATTACTATGATTATAATTATGGCTTTTTGTATCAATTTTAGTTTGGTGAAATTGATATTGATGGCTCTTTAGTTGCGGCGAAAGCAGCTGGTGTATTTTTCAGAAAGTATGGGAATTCAGTATAGGAATTCATGACTTATGGGGTTTGTCTTTAGTCCTTTGATTCTTACGCTCAACATTATTAATGATTGTTATTTAACCATTCTCTAAACATGTTCTTATATTTTAGTTATGACTTGATATTATGTGTTCACATAGGGCTCTCCTCCAATTGATGATTTTTTGAATTTTAAGTTGTCTTCGTGTTTTATAGATTGAAAACAGTCCCTTAAAATGTTAATACCTTGTGAATTAATTAACACTGCATGCATTATAGGTACCTTGATTCACAAGTGATGGCATATAGCAAGTGGTGGTGCTTTCAAATGGTTCTTAAAATGTTCGATAAAAATTTGCAGTAAACTGAGAATGAAGTTCAAACTACTACCAAGGCTGCAGTTCATGATGTTCTTATCCCTACAGTTGAGGTATGATGCCTAGTTTGGTCATTTGTTGCATGTTATTGTTCTATATTTCAGTAGAGCTTAATTTTCTCTAAAATCTTTACACTGTGTTGCAGATTGCAGAAAAGGGACTGATGACTGGATCTGATTATGTAGAAGCGAATGAAAAAGCATTGATATGATTACTAGTGCACCTCACATATTATTGGCTCGGGTACTTACCACAAAAAATGATTTTCTGTTTAGTAGTGAACTTTATAAGTTACCCACCTCCAAGAATATAGAGTTGATTTTGGATTTTTATTTTTGGATTCAAAAGTATCATACTTGCATTTTCTCAGCCCTTTCAAGCCTACAATGGATCATGCCTTTCACTTGTTGAATCGATGTCTAGGTATTTGATACAAATGCTACATAAATTACTAGTTTGTTTAATTATGTTTTTATTCTATTTGAGCTGGAAACTAAAACAAATTGTGTGTGGTTTTAGCCTTTTGCCCTTGGAATCAGGCTGTGAGTTTGGCTGGAGGTGTAGGTATTGTTGTTAATAACTAGGTCCACTTGCTTTTCAATTTACTTTTCTAATGTATTTTTTCTAGTGTAGGTATTAGTGCGGTCATTGATGTTTTCACCATTGGTGGGACAATTTCTTTATCACAGCATGAATCACTGTACCATGTGATTTTGGAGAATATAATAATTGTTTCTCTCTTTCACCATTGGTGGGACAATTTCTTTATCACAGCATGAATCACTGTACCATGTGATTTTGGAGAATATAATAGTTGTTTCTCTTTCATGAGAAGAGATACAGATATTGAATATAAAGGCCACTTGAGACAATCGGCTGATCCATTGTGTGGTTATGATTCAAATTTCGATCGTTTCTTAGCAAATAGAATTCATAAAAATATGGTTCTGATTCTTTGGTGTCTTGGGGATTTTTAGAATATTTTTCTTTATTTTTTTAAAGTTGATTTGCATTTTATTTGGAGTCTTTTTGAGTCGAACACTATTTTGGCCGATCTTTGGACCATGATCAGAGGCTGGCTTGTACATAATGTGTGTTTTGATTTGATAATTTTTGGATTGAGAATTGAAATATTTTCCCAATTATCTTTGCTAGCCTCGATTCTTATGTGCTTATTGTGGACTATTGTTGACAATTTTGGTAGCTTTTAATGCGACTTTTGCTCACGTTCATGTGTTAGATGACATTCCTGCCTGAGTTTTAAAGTTGTTGTTCCGAGACTTGTTTGAATTGCTTTTATTCATGATGTTACTTTGATTTGAGTTGTGAATTGATTGTGTAACTTCGGTTACGTTTGTCTTGTTATTATTAACTTGTTTGTTAAGTCGTGCAAGGTACTTTGATATAGCTTTCAATTGTGATTTGATTGCTTCGTGTTCCATTTTATTTCTGGGACACGAATTCGGTGGTTCCTATGCGACTTTTCTTGTGTTTTGATTGCTTCGTGTTCTACTTTATTTGTGGGATACGAGTTCGCTTCTGATACGATTTATCTGGACTCACATTCTATTAGAGTATATTTGCATTATTGTGTGTTTTGTGGGGCTTGTATTTTCATGCAGGATGATTGTATGGTGGTGTCAAATACACACTACTTGTGATTTATTTTCACGCCGATGTTTTGAGGCTTGTGCTTAATGTCTGATTTCTGACTTGATTTGTTTGTTGATGCTAGCTTGCTCAAAGTTTTTCGGGTTTCTCTGTTTCGTTAGCTGTTGTTGTACTCTAATTTTTGTCCCTAAGATTCCTCTATCATATCAATTCAATCACAACAAGATCACACACTAGGATCTGGTTCTTCATCCCATCTTTAGGTTTGTTCACGGGGAATAACCAAACACCTTGACTTGTATTTTGTGATCATATATGTTTTGTATTGATTAACTTTTTACTAATAAGTACAATGAATATTTGCTCTAATTGTTGGTATCATAGGTGAAAACACAATACATTTTATCAAATTGATCCATAGGTTCATGAGTTTAGTTCTATGCATTCTTCAACAAACATTCATTGAGATTCAAACTTCATTATTGAAGTTTTTTTGAAATAATATCATGACAAAGTCTATTATGATTCATCATGTCTCAAGTTGTCAAAAATAGTTCAAAGGTACAAGGGTTGATTGAAGAAGTTTGACCTAGTTGGACAAGTTTTTTGTCTCATTGATCACAAGTGCATATCTCTCGATTCTCAAAATTTGAAAGTGGTTTTGGTTGCTATGGTTTCTCCTTATCATCATTAACAACTTCTACTTACATGACAAAAGTATTTGTACAAAGAAGTTTGTCGAAATTGCAAAGGTTTTTCCAAGATATTTTGTTACTCTATGAGCTAGGGTTTTGAACTTTAAAGGGGTATAACTTGCTCATCTTTTGATATTTTTGGGTGATTGCAAAGACATCATTCTCTTCAAAGGGATATCAACAAATCAATTCAAAAGTTTCAAGAAAATTTTGTGAGGAAGATACTTATGATGAAGAAAGATTACAAGTCCTCTAAACAAAGCATCAAATTCTCATATGTGACTTCAAAAGATAATAATTTGGTCAATTTTTATCACATTGAGCCCATTTTTTCCACATTGATCTTAAAGATGTGAACTTCAACCCTTTTTTTAAGTGCAAAGTGTGAAAATGAATGGAAGATGTCCTAAGGATGCAAAAGATTATAGGTTATTTTATGAATTTTTGTCAATTTCAACTAGTCATAACTTTATCATTTTTTGGAGATTTTAGATGGTGCAAGTCTCAAAATGTCATTCAAGAGATCTACTTCATGTCATCTTTTTTTGGTCGAGAACAAATTTCAAATGGAAGGTCATGTTTGGAGCAAGACATTATAAGACATTTTTGAAAGGAAAAACTTAGAATTTTTCTAAGTACAAAAGTTAACCTCTTTTTCTCAACTTTGACTCATCATAATTTGCAGTTCAAGCATCCATTTGATTCCATTCTTTGCACATTGTAAAGCTTGTGATCTCATTTTTCTAAAGTTTTAAGAATCATGTCCTAAGACTCATTGAGTTGAGAATGTCATTGATTTGAACTTGGTAATTTGAAACTAAAGTTTCTTCAAAAGTCAGAATTTGAAATCTTTGATTTAGCTTCTAAACACATTTTTTTTGTGCGTTTTTGCTTCTAAACATGTTTAGTGAACCTCCAGAAGTGACTAGCATATTAAAACGCAAGGTTTGATGAGTTTTGATCAAATTAGAAGTCACATTTTCTTGTTTGCAATTTCACACGATTTCTCTTCAAACATCACCATTTCACACGATTTCTCTTCAAACTTCACCATTTCACACGCTTGAACATTTAATCAGCTTTCCTATAAATAGAGGATCATACCTCATTCATTTTCTCAAACTTAGAGAGCCAGAATCACCATGCCAAACTTCCTCTTGAACTCAATTTTTTGTAACTTTGAATTTGCTCTTATAGTCTTTCTCAATCATTTTTCTGTCAATTCACCTTCCTTGAACCTCACTGAAGCTAACAGAAGAAGAATTAAGCTCTAAGACTTCCTAAATCGTGCTAGCCAAGTCTAGTTTCAGAGCTTTACAACTTAACTTCAATAGGTAGACTCCTTCATCAATTCTCTCAAGCTTTGATACTATTATGAAGCTCTCATCATATTGATTCTAGTAGCAACACTTGTTTTCAACTGGAAGTACGTTTTGGCCATGAAATTTCAAATCCCTTTTCAGAATTTCTTTTCAAAAATGATTGAGCTACAATTTATATAAATTTCTCGCAAATATACCATTGGAATCGTCTTGAAGAGACGAAGCGAATGGTATCGGTCTTGTGTCATAATTTTACAGTTTCTGGAACCTGCAGATTCGTTGGCTGGAGGTTGAAGATGACCAACGTGTCATCTATCAACCAATGAAGGCGTGCCACATATTTTTTCAAATCTAATTTAAATAATTGATTCCATGCTTTATTCACTAAAGACCATGATATGCATAGCACTTCTGATTCATTGAATTAACTTACTAACGCGTTTTGAATCTCATCCATTGGTCCACATTTTTTGACTTTATTTTTATTTCTGATTTTTATATTTAAATTGTTTTAAACTTCAAAAATCATAGAAAATTCATTTTAACTTCAAAAAATCTGAAAAAAATTACGAAAAATACTTTTCATTTTTCTCTTTCTGATTATTATTTTTTCACAATTTTATTTTGTGTTCTGATATTTTTTATAAATTTTCACTTTATTTGAATTGTTTTAAATGTTTAAAAATACTTTTCTTAATTTTTAAATTCTGGAAAAAAAATGGAAGGATCCAATAACCTTTTGACAAATATTAGTGACCTCATTTTATTTTTATTTTTGACTTTACTATTTTCACATTTTTTGATTTGTTTTTCCTATTTCTTTTAATTTTAAAAAATTATCAAATTTTTTTAATAAATATTTGAGCTCATTTGTGATTTTTCTATGGTCTTGTTTGATTTTTCTTGGATGTTTTGAATATAGTTGCTATTTTCTACTTTTATTCTCATTTTTAAACCTTTTTTTAAAATATTTTTCTTTATTTTTTAAGTATATTTTATCTTGTATATATTCTGGCTGATCTTGTACTATGAGATTTTAATCATGAGCTTTATTAAGATCATTGAATCCATGGTGTTGAGTTTAACTCCACAAAAAATGGATGAATGATTTTAATAATAGCTTGATTAAATTTTTGGTTCAAATGTGGTTTAATTCTTACTTCATCCATCTTCATATTATCCCCTTCTTATTGTACTAAATGTCATTGGAAAATGATTTTCATATCATTTCTCAAAATATATAATACATAGATTTCTATTGACCGGCTTCAAAATAGGTGTGACTTCTACATAAGTCCACTTATGATTGCTTAACATAACGCTAAATTTTGTCCCGATTTGAGAAAATGATCATTCGTGGCCCAAACCCATGTTTGTAAGTCCAAGTATGTTAATTTGAACCCTTTGATCCAATAACATTGAGATTTATTGTTAGGAGACTTTGGTCCTATCAATCCTCTAATGAATTTCCATCAACTTTGGTCAAATTAGATCACTTAAACATCATTGATCATTTGTTGTTGTCTTGAGATTTTGAAATGAATGATATACTTGACAAAAAGCAAATGAAACTTGTTGAGAGATTTTGATTTTATCAATCTTCTAATGAGTTTTCAAATGCGAGTTTCAAGATGGTCATTCAACTAACCTCTAATTTCTAACTCAATAACAATTGACTTTATTTTATGCTTTTATTTTATGCTTTTACTTTAAGCATATTTATTTTGGCATTTATATTTCATGTTATTTTCATCTTTGCTCATTTGAGCATTTACTTTTATGTCATTTTTATTTTGCTCATTTGAGCTTTTATTTTCTTTTTGAAGATACCTAATAATCAACTTGAACCATAAAAAACTTTAATGTTACTTGGACTACTTGGTTACTATCCTTGACATTATGGAGACCGTGGACTTCTTGGACTTAGGATTAGAAGTTGTGACCTATCTTTGAGACCTTGTGACCTCAATTGTTATTTTTTCTGGAGTTCTTGGGGTTTACCCTAAGACATTGGGTTGTTTGTTTGTTTACTTTGTGTGCAAGTTATTCTGATTACATGCTTTGTCTGTGATCGGGAATTTATCTGTATACAGCCGTTACGCTGCCCAATTTTTTATAAAGACTTAATACAATTGAAGTTTGGTTTTCTTA